GCCACTCGGTATAGCGTCCTCTACAGAATAGGGGCACTTTATTAACTCAGAGAGTAGTCAGCTGAGGAAGAGGAGGCAGAGGAAGAGGAGGCAGAGGAGGATGAGGAAGAGGAAGAGGCTCTGTGGTGCAGCTGTGCCTCCAGCAGCTCCACTAACTGGGTCACTTTGTTTTGTCTCCCAGCAGACTGACGAGAAACACCTGAATATTCTCTGTCCTCTGTACTCGCTGCATGTTCACCATCTTATCTTATTCTTACCTTAAAGCAGGAAGACAGTAATACTCAGTCTCAAACGTTGACCTGTTTGGCCTTTTTGAGGTCAGAGGTCATCTGTAGAACAGCAGCTGTGGCACTTCATCATTTGGGATTCTTGTTGTTAGGTCTGCCATCTCTCAGACAATTTGTTTCTCTTGCTGATCGACTTATTATCAAGAACATTTTGAGCTAGATACAAGACTTAAAGTGTTGCTATAGCATGAGTCTTGTGGAGGAACTACATTTTACAGATCTCAAGTGTCAAGTCAACTTTCTTTATTCCAGGTCAGCACTATTTTCTGTTTAATGCATTTAATGAAGAAATCTAACAACACTGCATCTAACAGCTATCCGTCAAGAAGAGCTGAATCATTAGTAATCAAGTCTTTTTTTTTTCAAGCAGCATATGTAAATTATGTGGTTCCCTCTTTTCAAAGTGAACATTTGCTGCTCTTCATTTTATAACATTATCATTTATGTTTGTTTTGGACATCTGGCCGGATAACAAAAAAAGTTTTTAAGCATCAAGACTAAGGGCATTTCTCACGAGCAAAAAATATCCTCAGATTCAATTTTTAGAGATAATAATCCTTAGTTGTAGAAGTGAAATAAGTAGACACTATATATTTCAATCAACAGCAGATATTATCATGAGTTATTTATCATTTAAATGTGAATTCTGCTTCTCTTCACTTCTTATATTACAAGAAATGTAATATGTGTTAGATACACAAGCAGCACTTTAAAGATATTGCATTTCTAGCTAATTGTGACATGATTTTTCACAACTTTCTGGCATTTGTTAAACCAACCTATAAATCGACTGAACAAAACAATCATCACCATCATTTATCCCATGAAATGGTCTTTAAATGTTTTGTTTTGCACAACCAACAGTTCAAAATCCAAAGACACATCCAACACATTTGAGAAGCTCGATCTATAGCATGTTTTCCTTTGTAGCTTTACCCAGTCACCCTCATTGTTCTTAATCAGATTCCCAATGACTATGGCGACATATTGTTTCGGTCCCAGGCGTTTTCTCTCCTTGGAGCAGACGACGTGTCGCTGATTTTCAGACAGATGTGGTGATGTTGATCCGTGTCTCCCTGTGGTTTTCCATTAGATATACTGTGGGTTTCCTAGAGAGCCTCCCACAGACCCCCGGGCAGCGGAGATTACAGCGTTTTAAAAGACAGCTTCCATTGACAATTACTCCCACACAGCCCAATGAGGCAGAGCATCCACGCTGTCATTTTCATTTCTTCACAGGAAGGTGCCAAAACAGAGATTAAACTGACAAAGAGCATCACACTCACACTCTGGATGTAGTGTGTGTGACTGTAGATGACTGTGTGTGCGTCACTGAGAGATGTCATGTATGCGCTGCGTTGTGTGTGACGTCAAAACACATTCACGTGTAAAAATAGACCGCCGGTGCTGGAGTCCTTACACATGAATGCACAGCGGTTCAGACACACATTTGCTCTCCTTTTGTCAAATCAAAAGAACGACAATTGCTCTCAGTACCAGATGTGCCAGTTATCTACCAGCTCTGAAAAGGAGAGACACATATTCCAGTTTACTACTCTTGGTAATTGTTAAGGAAAAGAGTGAATGTTAACTGAATCTGACATGCCACAGGAAATGTAAATATTCCCTCAATTTGAAGCAAGCTTAGGTTAGACATCTTGCTTTGTCCTTTCCCTTTCCTCTTAACCTTTTACCTGTTCTTTCTGCTTTCTATTTCTTCCTCTGTGTCTCCTTGTGCGGTTCATATTCGTGCGTAGTTGTGCTTTGCAATGGGAGGTAAATCAATATACGGCCAGCTTGACTGACTTGTTGCTGATTCTCACTCTTACACCACCATGTGCCACACTTGGCACAGCCTCAGCTCCTCTTCTCTCACTGTTGCACACTCAGGTGCAGTGTTATCTTCTTGTTAACACCACGAGCAGCCACTTACTGTACGGTGTGGCTTTTGCATTATAGTACAAAATGAGTGGCGGATAAAACAAATGAGTGTCTTGGATTCAGTGAGTAACACCACACGCACTTAATGCAAGTGTGTAAGGTTAAGGAGGACATGTTTTGGTCATTTTCAGGTTCATATCTGTATGTTGTGTCTCTACCGTGACATGTCTCCACGCTTTAATGTTTAAAAAGCTCTTTATTTTTCTCATACTGCCTGTGCTGCAGCATCTCTTTTCACCCTCTGTCTGAAACCAGAGCCCAGTCTGCTCTGATTGGTTAGCTGGCCGGCTCTGTTGTGATTGGTCAACGGCTTAGTAGAGATGTCCCGCCCCTTAGCCTATCACGTACAATATGTTGGAGCGCTAACCAACAGAAGCGTGAATTCTACATAACGATGTGAAACTGCAGATCGATGAAGGTTCGTATTCGTATAGGTTCGTAGGTCTTGTATTTATATCCTATAGGATGATTACACTAGTCCATCACAAGTTATCTTAAAAATATGTTGTCCTTTATGCTCAGACGATGAATCTATTTCAGTTTAATTAATGACTTCCTAATATCTTTTCACAGAAGGAAGCAAGTGTTCAGTTTTTCCTATCGAACACTTGTGCTTTTATTGTATCCTTAATTTCTGCGTGAGGCGCTTTCATTTAGAGTTTTGGCTCTTCTTAGACACCGAGGACTTCATATTCAAAATGTTACCACACAGGAACAAGGCAATAACATACTGAATTATAACTTCATATAAACATAAAGTGCCACAGATGCTACTGGGGAAATAACTAATGGTTCTTGGTGTCTTTGCGTCACAAGGTTATCCGTCATATCTGGAGTAAATTGGACTCATTTGTGAAAAAACATTTACCGCAACAGTCTTAGCATGTGTGCAAGAAATGAGGAAAAGTATAAATAGCATGGAGACATGAGATTCAATGTGCTGCAGCTCCGTGTTTGTTCCCTACAGCTGTGTGAAATGTCACACTTTTCCCCACCAATTAGTTTTCCGCTGCTTATATTAACACATTATCAGAAGGAAAGATAAGTGGAAGCAGAAAATCCTCGACTCTCAAACACTTTCATCAAAGAATAGACAGACAGACAGCCGACTTATATTAGTTACTCATTGGTCTAAAGGCCAGTGGTGGAAAGTACAAAGTATTGTAGTTAATCTGGTACTTGTACCTAACTTGAGTGTTTCCATTTTGACTGTGTACTTCTACTTCACTACATATCAGAGGGAAATACTCTTTGTGTATGTCTACATGTACGTGACAGTTACTTTACAGCAGTGGCGGCGCCAGAGATTTAGTTTTGGGGGTGCTGTGGGGTAGCTTGACGTTTCATAGAGGGTGCTCAAACATTTAGGGTTTCCCATTAAGGTACCGGGCTGCAGTTGAATTTTCTACTGCAACACTCTCCACACGCACATACATAGTGTAGCCTACTTGTTCAAATGAAGGCTCGATAATCAGCTCACGGCAAAAAGGTGTAAGCAGGGGTAAAGTGCTATTTTTTTATAAGTGGGGGGTGGATCTAACATCCTCTAGGGGAGTCCGGGGGCATGCTCCCCCGCGAAGATTTATTTTAAATATTGAAGTTAAAAGCATCAATCTGGTGCACTTTGAGAGCAAAATGAAGAGATCTATGGATACATCTCTCAACACCCATATGAAACAGAACTGTAAACAGATTTTCTATTTCTTTATGGATATTTTACAAATCACCCTTTTAAACTGTATTCTTGTTTTACTGTCATATAGTATTTCATACCTGTTTTTCATTTATGCTCTTATTTTTTTATACCTATCGTGACCAAACCGTTTTGAGACCCAGGCACTGAGATAACTTAGACTAAAGTTAACTATCTAAACACTGAGAGAGTCCTTTACTTCACCTGAGCTGAGGTTATCTGAGACTATCAGTCTGACAGGAGAGAGTTCTCTTTCCACCTTGTTGTTGAAAAAGCTCCATATATCCGTTAGCGTAGCTAGCACCAGATGCTAACCACAACGATCTCCGGTACCAGTGCGCTCTCTCTCTCCCTCACTCGCTCGCGCACGCACACAAAATGGGTCGTGCCACACACACACAGAGCAGAGCTTGAATGAAACACAGAGACCCAGAAGTGGGCTACTTGTACTGTACTGTAGCACATTATTTTCAAATCAATCCTTTTCCAAATTATGAATTTCACACATAAAAAGAAAAAAAAACACATACATTTCTTGGAGGTGCTTAGGGGGTGCTATGGCCCCCCTGGAGCCACCACTGCTTTACAGTTTAAGGTTTTTTAACACAATTAAAAAAACGTATGAGAGTTTGTTTGTAATAAATATACCCGGCGATACATATTACATATTATGATTAATTAGCTGATTAAATATGTAGTTCATTGAGAGAATTTGGATTGTTTCAAGCTTCTCAAATGTGATGATTTTCTGCTCTGAGTACTTTTATTTCGAATACTTTAAGAATACTTGTATTTGAGCAGTCTGGTATTATTACTTTTGCTTTTGTTATTGGTCTGAATACTTCTTCCAGGACTGCTAATTGTATATTAAAGACTGAAATGTGATGCTGGGCCAATATGCAGCAAGTAGCAACCTTTCATGTCTTATTTCAAGCAGTTTTCTTGTTCTGTCTAATTCTTTTTTTAGCCTAGCTACCATCAGTATGTGAAGACTTAAAGATCAGTATTATGTCATTCTATGTGCACAGCAGATTATAACTTTGTTGTTTTCTTCTGTCCTTCTTTCAGGTTTATCACAGACAAACGTGTGACCTCTCAGATCAGCACACAGGGGAAGCAAACGAGCACAGATCTCAGACGGAGTTTTGATTTTAAATCTCCTCGACATTGTTCTGCTCTTCAGTTCATTTTTTTCCCCAACCTTCTCATCCCCTTGGTGACCCCTCCATGTCGGGGAAGGAGCGCAGCCCCCGCCACCGGCCCTGGTCGGTGTACCGGGCCAACACGTTCGATCTGTCGGCTGAGATGATGGGGCTGGCTCTCTCGGGTAACTAAGTAACTGCTACCATGGTAACCTGTTTCCTTGGTTGCTGATGGGAAACTGTTAACACAGCGCTCCTGTTTCCTCTCCTGCAGGCAGCAGCCAGGATCCAGACGAGCCGGTGCTGGAGTTCAGTGTGGGTGAGTTCAGGAGAAGACTATTACTACTATTCATGCTATATGTGGATCAGACTGTGTGTCATTTTCTTAAAGGTCACCTATTATGCAAAATCCACTTTTTCATGTCTTTTATACATCAGCATGTGTCCCCTCTGTGTAAAGAGATTATGAAAGTTTCAGGAAAAAAGATTCTCTCTCTTTTCGTCCTGATCCATTTATATAAAAACCTGTCTGAAAATGAGCTGATCAGATTTTACCCACTTTATGATGTCATAACAATTTTTTGGTTTGTTAGCCAATAACCAACCAAGATCATTTACACCTAAAGGCCTCATGAGTATAAGATAGTTGGACATTACTGTAACAAATCTCCTGATAAAACCAACAATGTGTTCATCCTCATTTCACTGACTGCACAGGGAAGTAATGCCTCTGATTCCACAGTGCGATACAGCTGATTACTCTCCATTATTAACAGACAAACGCTCACTAACGAGTCACACTGTTAGATGTTGGATGATACCAATATGATATTATGATGAACATGGGCACTCAATCCCACATCTGCTGTACTTAAATGTATTAAGTCCACAGCTAAGAATAGTCCAGAACAAATGTAGTCTTTACTTCTGTTTGAGTGATGTTTGCTAAACCAGCTGTATAAGGAAATGACTGACATTTTTCTTTTTCTTTTAGGACCTGTTTTTAGATCAGTATGTGATAGAAACTGGACTACATGTCACAGAGAAACTTTAGAGATAGACTAATGCTTTGTTGTTTTGGTCTTTTCTTGAAAATCTGTTGACAATAAGAAAGTAACGCATATAGTAAGGTACTTTAGCTTTATGCTTTAAAGCTGCAATATGTGTGACATTCTGAAAGTGACAAGTTTAAAGAAATATATCACCAACATTGATGATTACTGTATTGGTTTAATGGTCTGATGTTTTATTCTGCTTTTTCAGACGCAGCACGATAATGTTAGTGAAAAGCCTTTTAAAAATCACTGCACACTACCTGCTCAGCTACTATCTTCCCTCACAAGTTAATGGAGAGCTAAAAGGGTTCATATTGGACCAAGAACTCACAGGAAAAAAACAAAAAAAATGTATCATAATGTTCACTTTACTAACAATATAAAGGGAATATATATCAAAGTTTAAAGATTTTTCATCTGCCACTTATTTTGAATGAAGGATGATGTGTCTTTTTCTACTACACCATATGTGTGGAAAGACTTGTTTCATCGCTTGTTAAACCTGACAGCATTACTGTATACAACCGCAGCTCATCAAGTGATCAACTTAAAACTACTGCATTACATTCTACTCAAGGCAAAGGATTAGTGACCACCATTAAACCCCACAATGTGTAATCTTTCTCTCTCTCTGTGTGTGTGTGCAGCCTGCAGCGAGCTGGTCACTCCCTCTCTGGACAGGAAGCCCACCAGCTTCGTGGCCGTCAGCTGCACCACGCCGCCTCAGGCCTTCTGGACCAAACACGCCCAGACTGAAATCATAGAGGTACACCGCTGTTAG